TGTGCTATCTGCTGATTGATTCAGCAACAGCATGATGAAGCAATTCCCATAGACTGGCATAGGAAGAAATTCCTATAAAAATGGACTCTAGAAAGTGAGAACTTTGCGGTCTGATTCTGCAAACCAACTTCCAGGAGCATCAGATGAGCATCTGACAAGGCCCTGCTCCCTCCTCATGTCCAGGCCACCTGGCCAGTGGCTTGGCATGAGCAACTCTAAGGCTGGTAACTATGATAGAACCTGTGTGTGTGTGTGTGTATGAATGAATGTGTGAATAAATATAAGATTGAATGGAATGTTATAGCTATAACTAATTGCTTACTATGATTCTGTCTGTATTCACAATAAATGTGGTATTTTGCCTTTTCCCCTTTAATAAGATCCTGCTGGTTTTTATTTTATTGGTATAACAAGTACACTTGGTCCCACAGGAGAGTCCTGACCTGCCCCGTTCAACATCCCATCTCCAGCCATGGCCATCCTTGATGCTTCAGAAGAAGAAGATTAAAAATCCCCTCCAGAATACATTGGTGGGTGGGGGAAATCCCTTACTGACCTCCTGCACTGTCCTGTATGATAGAGGTAGGGGCAGATGTGGCCCTCAAGGTATTTCTGTTCCCCTCACCATCGCTGCAGTTTACTGGTCATCCCTTCTGACCCTTCCCTACACTGGGAAAGGGCCCGTCTTTCCTCCTTTTCCAGTTTGGGCCCCTGGAGCTGATCTGGTTCTGTTAATAGCCCGTACAGTACTCCCTGTGGTAATCCACAGGTCTGGAGATTGTTTCACCGGGACTGCCTGGTTTTCCCTGTCTCACAGACCCCATCTTTCTCTTCCCCTTTTACCCCATGTTCTCCCGCTCCACACCTGAAACACCTTGTGGGGAGGTGTCTTCTTCACCCTTGCCCTAGTTGGACATGTGTGACGTACCACTTAGGGGGATGCTCCCAACTTGGCCTGTTGCTCCTCGTCTTTTCCTTTTACATTTTACAATTCTTAAAGGGGCAGCCCCTCCTGATGCGCCCCACCTCTCAACACGGAACATTTGGATGGGCCCTTCCACTTCTAGACCACCCTTGGAGTGTCTCTTCCTTGAGCACACTCCGAGTGCTCCCACTGCCACCTGGGGCACTCTGCTCTTTGTGTCCTGGCTTCCCACATCTCAAACACAGCAGGAACTTCCTCACTTGCTGACAACAGCGATCTCCCTGCTCTTGCTGCTGTGCCGTGAGCTGCACCGCCCGGGTTGCCTGATGACTCTGCAGGAGCTGCAGAAGGAATGCTTGAATCCTCTGCTGCTGCTCGGCCAGAAGACAGACCACATCCTCTACTTTCTCTCCTTTTGGACCATCAAAATGCCTTCCTTGTTGGAAGGAAGGTCTTGGATTCTGCCAGCTACACCAGTGCCATAGGGTGACTGATTCCCGCATGCCCTCTTGTGGCCTCAGGGCAGACCTGCAAGCAGCCCCTGCCTCAGTTTCCCCTTTCAAGGGACTTCTTCAATAATGCACAAATCTTTCAGGTTCTGGTTTATTAAATTAACAGCATTCAAAATAAGTTCTCAAACCCATCCATTTACCCTCTTATCAGGTCAATCCCAGGCCTGTCCTGCCTGTAGTCTCACTTTCCAGTTACAGGCACCTCTGTTGGGGCCAACTCGCTACCAGCAGCCTCTGTATTCTACTCTGGTCTCCCTGAGCCAGGGCCACACAGAGGTTTTTGGGAGCCTGAGAGCGTCTCAAAAGGAGGCACCAGGGTAAACTGCCTCTCTCCCCCTGCCACATCTGGGTGGCCCTGCCCTGAACATTCCTCTCTCAGCCTCTTTTTGCTCTTTTGAGGGGAATCAGCTGATCCCTGCTCAGGTGTGTCTCCTTAGTAACTAGGCTTGGCTGGCCCTGGGCAAGCTACTTCGTTACAAGGACTTTGCATCTACTAACTGCATTTTGGGACATAACGGATATTGTGGTACTTGTGTGCAAATGACTGTGCATGTAAAACGATGTGTGCAAAATCAGAGGCTGGATAAAGCCCCCTTTGAAAATACATGGCTGTAAACTATGACACTCTCCCCACCCCCCACCCACTAACTACCACTGAGATTTTGGATGTATCCATTAAATACAGAAATATTCTTAGCATTGATTATTAATTAGACTCTAACAGTGTTCTCAGCCCTGATACAGACACAGTTATTAGAAGTCTTCCTTTGGAGGCCTTGCCTTGAATAAAACAGAAAGACACTGTAAACCAGGAGTGCCAAGGGAAGGAATTATCTTCGGGCTTGTCTACATGGGATGTTACTGTGTGGCAAGTCAGAGTGTGAATCTACAGTGTACTAGCTTGCCATGCCGTAACACCCTGTGTGGACACTACTACAGCACACCAAAGGGCCCGGTGTGCACTTTACTACTTGTAAAGTGTAATCAGTCAAAGCGCCCCCCTAGGAATTTTGATGCAATGTAGCAGTGTCCACATGGGCCATTACTGCACAGCAAGCTAGTTCACTGTATAGTCACACCCTGGCTTGCCATGCAGTAACATCCCATGCCAACAAGCCCTTAGATGAAGCCTGAGTTCCCCCTTACTGTAACATTTGCTTTGTTTTACTTAGCAGTGGGCTTCAAGGAAGAAGTTAGTCCATGGGTGGGATTTGAATGAGGAAAGGATGACAGACTGGGAGTTGGAAGAGTACCCCATGGATAGGGGCAGCAGGTGGAGGAAACAAACAAAGGGCTTACAAACCACCACACAATATACACAATTACATTCCAATCACTATTATATTGCACAGAGAACTTTGTAGCAACATGACGGATGATTTTAAGAAGGCTCTGGGGAGCAGGGATGGTAAACAGAAATGTTATAGTTCTTTGGAGTAAACAAAAATGCTTCTTGGAAGTGCAGCACAGAATCGCACCTCTGCTTAGCAGGAACTGGTCTGGTGTTACGCATTCACTTCTCAGACTACATAGGCCACCAGTCATTGGTGAGGGGTGGATTTCAGTAACTAACTGCCAGAGGATGGATTTGAACTGGTAACTTGGAAGTTAAAGGCTCCATAGGTGGGATTTTCAAAAGCAACTAAGTGACTTAGGAGCACATCTTCCATTAACTTTCCATGCCTCTCACCTCTAAGATGCCAGTTCAAATCCATCCCATGTGTCATTACCAGTCCTCTTGCTATTTGCCATTGCTATTTTATAATTACATGTATTACAGTTGTGTCTGAAATCCTCATTCAGGATTGAGGCCCCATTGTGCTTGGAGCTGTACAATTTCTGTTCACTCCTTGAAAGAAGATTAAGTTCTAATGCTTTATTTCAAAGGACAAGATCTCTGTTTATTTAGTTGTCTTTGCCTGGGTGATGGGGATGTCTTCTCCGTGTGGGAAAATAACGGATATTAATCATATACTTAAAAGTCAAAAGATCCTGATATTTGAGCAGTGTGAAGTGTCCAGCACTTTTACTGTGCAAATTCAGAGGGGAACCAACAGGAGGAGCAAGGGAGTAGATAAGAGCTTTGGGTTTCCCATAGAATACAACAAGCTGATTTAATCCAGACGTGAAAGAAATCATTTTGTGATGCAGTGCCGTGACATATACAGTGCAATCTTTTTTCTGTCTGAACTAAGTTCAGGATTTACTGCAGCCTGCAAGTTGACTTTGCCAAATGCGGGCTAGACATGTGAAAGTCAGGACTGTCCAGTGGAATGTGGAATGGGTGTGTGCCTTACTTTAACTTATTAGCTCATGAGCTGACAGCAGTGCTATGCAGAATTGTTGACTCAGTGGACAATACCATGTTCCTCTTTATTATTTCTATAGCTCCACAGATGTGCCTGGTGATTTACAGATTAATAAAAAGAGAGGTCCCTGCCCCCTCTGAAGCTGACAGTCTAGATGTAGCAAAGCAAGAGATGACAAGCAAAAAGGAGAGGATATGGGAAGGAGGAGGGTGGCAACAGCTAAAAATATGCTTTGTTACAGACAGACCCATATTGTTATGGGTTCCTTTAAAATGTGTGTTTGTGTGTGTGTGTGTGTGAGAGAGAGAGAGAGTTAGTATATTCTAATAATAATATATGCAACCCCATGCTCTGAGTGTCCCTAAGTCTCCAACTGCCAGAAGCTGGGACTGGATAACTGGGGATGGATCACTTGACATTGCCCTGTTCTGTTCATTCCCTCTGGGGCACCTGGCACTGGCTACTGTCAGAAGACAGGATACTGGGCTAGATGGCCCGTTGGTCTGACCCAGTATGGCCGTTCTTATATTTTTAATAAAATGGAACCAAGTCTATTAGGCAGAAGGCATGGTAGAATGTGGGTTGGTGTCTGGAAACCCAAATGAAATAAGTCTTAAGGAAGAATGATAGTCTGCATGATTCACCGGATGGGGAAGGATAATCTCGGTATAGGAGACATCATGAGAAAGGGTTCTGAATTGCATATGGGAGAAGGAAAGATGGATCAAGACTACAGCGCATAAAGTGTGAGCTGGAGCAGTAGGGAAAGATGAGAGATGAGGAGATAAAGCAGGAACAAAACTGTGCAGAATTCTGAAAGTGAAGACATGGAATTTGAATGTGATGTTCCATGAGTTAAGGAGGTGGGGTGATGTGGTTGGAGCAGTGGCAAGGAAGGTGACTTAGGCTGCTGGGTGTTGGATAGTCTGCATGGGAGTGATGTGTGATTTAGGAGGCCACAGAGAAGTCAGCTAAAGCAGTTGAGGCAAAAGATTACTGGGACATAGACCAGAGGTTTTAGCAGAAGAGATGGAGAAGAGGGAACACATTTTTGAGGAGTTATCAAGGAAGAACAGGGAAGATGTTAGCAACTGCTAGGATGTGAGAGGGAAAAGACATGAGAGAAATTGGAGGACACCATGGTTGCAAGTCTGGGTAACTGTCAGGGTAGTAGAAGTATCAACAGTGTCTAGGAAGGGAGAAGGTGAGATTCAGGGATTTAATAAGGAGCTCTGTTTTTCCCATTTCATTTAGAGTTGGAGCTGAGACATGCAGGAGGAAATGTAGGAGAGACACATGCAGATATAGGATGAAGAGAGGAGTAACGAGCCAGAGGTAACTGGTAATTAAGGTAGGTGATGGCTTAAGGCAGAAGTAGGCAATTATTTTTTGTCAAGGTCCAGATTTCTTGGTCAAGTTAAGGTCCAGACACCAGAGAAAACAATAAAAAAAAACCCAATAAAGATAAAAAATAAATAAAAAGGTTTTGGGGGCCATTCAAAAGCATCTGGTGGTCAAGATTTAGTCCATGGTCCACCTATTGACTACCCCTGGCTTAAGGCAATACAGAGTTCAGGGCAGGTAAAAATCTGATCTGTGCTATCGGTTATTCATAGACTCATAGAATCATAGAATATCAGGGTTGGAAGGGACCTCAGGAGGTCATCTAGTCCAACCCCCTGCTCAAAGCAGGACCAATCCCCAACTAAATCATCCCAGCCAGGGCTTTGTCAAGCCTGACCTTAAAAACTTCTAAGGAAAGAGATTCTATTCCTTCATTACATTTAAAAAACCCCCAAATGGCCGTATAAAATAAGTCCCACATCCTGGAATCAAACTAACCACAGACCAATGTGCTATGGTTGTAACATGTGCTGTGGTTAGAACGTCCCATTCAAGTGGGTTGAAAGGGTTAAGGAGAGAGCAGAGTTTTTTGTATTAACTCAGATCTGCCTAACTTTTGTCATTAATCCCACATTTAATGTGACTTTAATTTCCTTTCTTGGTGCTCCAGGAGGATGCCGTTCAGGGTCACTCTGGTGTGCTGAGCATTTGGGAACACAGGCATGCAAGCATTTTAAGTTCTCTTCATTTCACTTGGGTTTCAAGCGTGAGAGAATTGTAAAAACAAATCCAGGCAAGCAGATGCACAGCAAAGAAATGGATTCAGTGGGGGCTATACATATGCGACGGATAGTTTTGGCCAATAAATCCCTAGCACCACCTGTCCAAATATGGGAAAGACTTTTAAAGGGCACATTGAGTGCATACAAATGTTTCATTTCTTTACGTATGGAGTTCACTTGGTAGGGCATGTGTTCTCCAAGTGTGTTTGCCTTTAAGGAAGCCTCCAGGTATTTCCCCTCTTTCTGAGGACGGTGAGCCCTCCAGAGCATGTTTAATTTTTTTTTTTTTTTTGCTGGGTGCAGTGGTGAGACAAAGGGAAGCTGGATTTTTCCCCTCTCTGACATTGTTTGGGTTTCTTTCTGCCCTATTTTCATTCACAAATTAGAGTACTGTGTGACGGGTTCAGTCACAGAGACCCTCTTGGGACTGTCACCTGATGTGCTGAGACTACCTCTGAGTCTGTTTTCTCTGCCAGTTTGGGCCTCCAGACCCGTCTTGTCGAGCCAGACACACCAGTATGCTCCAGCACAGACCCAGGGTCTGAACCACATACCCCAAAGCTGCAGACTTAACTGAAAACGGCTTAGCAAGTTCTCCTGTCTCTAGCACCCCCATACACTCAGCTCCCAATGAGATCCAAACCCCAAATAAATCCGTTTTACTCTGTATAAAGCTTATACAGGGTAAACTCATAAATTGTCCACCCTCTATAACACTGACAGAGAGAGATGCACAGCTATTTGCTCCCCGGGGTATTAATTGCTTACTCTAGGTCAATTAATAAGCAAAAGTGATTTTATTAAGTATAAAAAGTAGGATTTAAGTGGTTCCAAGTAATAACAGGCAGAACAAAGTAAGTTACAAAGCAAAATAAACCAAAACATGCAAGTCTAAGCCTAATACATTAAGAAACTGATTACAGATAAAATCTCACCCTCAGAGATGTTCCAATAATGTTTCGTAGACTAGACTCCTTTCTAATCTGGTCCCAATCCTTTCCCCGGTACAGTCCTTGTTCCAGCTCAGGTGGTAGCTAGGGGATTTGTCATGACTGCAGCCCCCTTTGTTCTGTTCCACCCCCTTTTATAGCTTTGGCACAAGGCAGGAATCCTTTGTCTCTCTCTGGGTTCCCACCCTTCCTTCTAAATGGAAAAGCACCAGGTTAAAGATGGATTCTAATACCAGGTAACATGGTCACATGTCCCGTGAGCCCTCCTCCATTCCTCCAGGACTGGCTCACAGGTATGCGGTGGAGGCTTGCAAGTAAATAGAGCCATTTACCACCATTTGTTCTAGTTGACAGGAGCCATCAAGATTCCAAGCCACCATTAATGGCCCACACTTTGCATAGTTACAATAGGAGTTCAGAGTAACACTTCATATTTCTAGCTTCAGATACAAGAATGATACATTCATAGAAATATATGAACACACTCAGTAGATTATAAGCTTTGTAATGATACCTTACAAGAGACATTTTGCATAAAGCATATTCCAGCTACATTACATTTACACTCATAAGCATATTTCCATAAACATATGGAATGCAACATCACATACTCCTCTCCCAAAATAAACATGTTACACGGGGAGGGAGGAAGTTACTCTCTAGGAAGGAGGGGAACTCTCTAGGAATTGGAACATTTGGGAAGTAAATTCTAAAGCTGTGGGAAGGGATTCAGGAAGGCAACATCAGAAGGAAGAAAACTATATATGAGGCTGAATGAACCATAGCACCCCGGACCATCTTCCAGGAACCCCAGAACCCTGCTCCTGCAACACATCTGAGTGCACAAGAGTTAACCCCACCCCCCCAATCCTTCTTCCAATGGGTCTGCCTCATTCTCATTTCCCTCTGAATCTGGATCTCTTATTTGTGGCCCCAGAGCTTCTGAGACGGTTTATTTTCCTTGTCTGCCAGCAATGACCTTAACGCACCCAGAAGGCTTTGAGTGCTTCTCCCATTCTCTTTGGGCCAGATCCTGTGCTCATCAAGGTCAATGGGTGCAAGGCATGGCCTCTTGATGGAAATCAAACTTCCTTGAGCCAGTGTGAAAATTGCAATGTAGTTTTTTGGTAACCATGCTCCTTCTGGTGCTTGCACTTTAGTGTATAGAGCCAGCCAATGGAGCTACAGCTATACATACTTTTCACAAGCCGAGGATCACCTCAGAAGTATAGAGTGAGTGCAGTTCACTGGTAGGAAGGTTTATGCCCACTTCTTGCCAACTTTACACAGGAACAGCTAGCTACACATTGGGCAATGGATACTCAAACCCTACTACAGGCTTGGTTCTGATCTCACACCAGTGAAACTCATTTAAAGGCAATGAGATCAGAATCAGGCCTTTTGTATTCTAGGACAGCAAGGCAAAGCAAAGTAGGGCACTAACAGTAATCCGTAACATCCCAACATATCCCAAGATAGTTGTAAATACTGGCATAGTGCTAGTGTTCTAGTTCACCCTTGGCCGAAATGCCAGCTGTCAGATGCTTGGCAGGATGAGGTGGGCAATGGAACAAGGCAGTATCTTCATGGTTCACTGCCTGGTAAAGGGTACAGGATACCACAGTTCACTGGTAGGTTTGAAATACCCTCTGGGTTTCCAGCAGCTGCTCAGCAGTGGGTCACCCTTTCTTTTTTTGCTTTGTGTTCTTCCGTTGTGCCAAAAGTGCTCAGAGCAGTGGAATTACTGGCATAGATAGACATCAAAACATCAGGGCACTCACCACTTGACTTTTTGAAAAGTTTGACTGTTAGTTTTTTGAAGGCACAGGACTAGCAAAACCAGCAAAACAATAATTAATTTCTCAGTGTTCAGAGGGCTTCTGAGGAATGTATAACTACAAGAATTCGGGAAACAGAAGTTGCCACACTGCAGATAGTCTCTGTGTAATTCATAAGGGTAGAAGTGAGTGTATGTCTTCCGGTCATATCATATGATGCCATACAATAGTTTCACATTTATGCATATTGACACATGGGATTTTTGTCCACACACTCACAGGCTACCACATACGCAATGGATTAACATTGCCATATGTCGTTGTGTCAACATGACACAAGTCATGTTGGCTACATTGTTCACAAACTTTCACGTATATTTTCATCACCCGCACGCTCACCCACTTACTCAGAAAGTCAGGACTCATATCACATTCTCACCTCTCCTCTGGTGTCCTAATATATCCTGCTTTTCCACCAGCTCCAATTTTAAGCTCTTTGTCCTCTTTTCCCCATTGCTAGGTGGCACAGACTGATGCCTCTTGTCCGTGGGTAGAAAATCTAGGTTTCTCTAGACTAGATTCTGCCTTTCAGTTAGTGGAATTTAGGGGATGTAATGGCAGCTTTCTTCCTTGGGACTGGCCTAGCTGTGTGCATATTACAGCTGGTCAGGAATTTTCTGTAAAATGCTTTTTTGATGGATTAATTGAAACCAGAACTGTTTGTGGGGAAGAGCTGGTTACAACAAATCTCCTGATTCAGAAATGTTTTGAAAACTTTGTTTGAAATTGTCAGTGTCCATTTTAACATTCGCAAGACAAAAAAGATAGTTTGAAATGACTTTTTATTTTGAAATTTTAGTCAATTTATAGTTAAAAATTTAACAGGTCAAAATTGAATAAAATGTTTTGATCTGATCCGTTTTTTTTCAGATTATCTGTGTGTGTAAATTTTTGTGTTTTCAAATTTGCATCTGAGTTTGGGATGGGAACTTTTTTTTTTTTTAAACCGAGAAACTTTCATGGAATGGGACAACTGTTTCCCTCCCAGCTCTAGTGCATATGTAGCCCACATAAGCACAGAGTGGGTCTTTGTTGCCCTCTTGTGGCTGGTTCATGTGATAGGCTACAAGCCTACGACAGCAGTTTGTCCTTCTGCTGAAGTGGGAAAGGCTCAGGCTGTCAGCGGTGACGATCCTGCCAATGACTCAAGCAGATGGTTGTTTTATATGTGTGCTTTGGCCTTGACCTGAGAACCAGGCTTGCCCTTGTGGGCTGGAAGTGGTGGCAGTTCTACCAGGTGAGTTAAACACAATTCACAGAGGACATATGCTGAGTTATTTTCAACTGGAACTGGCTTCAATTTCCATCCTATTTCCATCCTAACCCTTTCTAGCCTTAAGGAGAAAGGGGCTCTTCAAGCACACAGAAACAGAGGAAACCACTGCGGGGATCAATCTCTTTTCATCTCATAACCACCATCTCAACCAGAGGCATTCT